TTTATATCTCTACCTAGATCAGTATTATACTGTACAAATCCATTTGTTTATTTTGTAATAATATTTAAAAGGATTGGAAGGGAGAGGGTTAATATAAAAATTCTAATAAGAATCTATTAATTATGAGGTAATGGCGTTTCAACCATCTACATATGTGTGTATATATATCATGAAATGTTAAAATCTTCAAAATGAATCAAATAATTGTTTCACAAAAAGTTTAATACTTCATTATTTTTTTTAAATAATCTCCTTAGGCCGCTTGTTAGTTGTTAGTTGTTACTAAAGAGCTAGTATCTAAAAATAAATAAAAAATAAAAAATCTTTTTGTAAAACAATTATTTGATGTATTATACATACAGAAATGCTTACATGCCAACGGTGGGCACATGTTAATGTGTCCACCGACTTATGTGGCATGCATACATTGGTGATGTATTTTTAACATGTGCCCACCGACTTATGTGGCATGCACACATTGGTGATGTATTTTTTTTAACATATTAACATCACCAATGTGTGCATGCCACATTAGCGGTGGACATATTAACATGTGCCCACCGTGGGCATGTGAGCATTTCCCATTACCATAACCAAGAAGCCTATTCTTTGGCCTCTTTTCATGCGCCACAAAGGGATTAGATCGCTTCAGATTCTCTTGTATCTCTCTCTTTTCTCCGGGGTGAACCTTCCCTCTCCTTTTAGTCCAGACTCACTTTGCAGGTTAATAAATACAAAAGTTATTTAAAATGTATTTATAATTTTCAAAACTCCTGGTAAATATGGATAGAAGTCCACATGTGTATGGATTTAAAGCACAAGAAATTCACACATGAGACCATGAATCAACAAAACTAAAAAAATAAGATTGCAAAACATAAAAAATTGACACATAGATTCGTGAAACTATATATGCATTTATACATATATAGGAAGAGATGTATATCAATTTACAATGAAGTGATGAAGTATACTCCAATGAAAAATACTTATGGAATAAGTTTCATAATGGTGTGATTTCTATTACACAATTACTATAACATATAGTACCAAATATCTTGATATATATGTATATACATATTCAATCAATACCATGAATAATCTATATCATCAAACTCATTAAACTCCTCATCAAGCCTATGCAGGCTACCAAAGTCACATTCGGGCTTGTATCCCAAGGACTCGAGCCCGTCATTAATATCTTGCCATGGATCTTGCAGTGTCGATTTGGCTTCATCGGAGCTCAGATCTTGATCATCATCACTTTTGGCATGACGATCTTTTATATTTTCTTGTTCGACTTGAGAAATAATCGTGGAAATTGGGGAATGATGGTGATCTTGTTTTGGTTGGATATCGTTCGACCCAAAGCTAATTAGATTAGGATCTGTTGGGTCCGAATCGACCATGACATGATGTTGATTCAATTGCTCTTTGCAAGTATGACGGTTGAAGTATGTGGTTTGATACGTGATGGGATTGTCTTTGATCATTTGTACTTGTTTTAAGGCTTTGCAGCCTTCGTACTTGTGGGTACATTTGAAATAGCATCTGGAAAAAGAAAAACACTAATGGATATCGATTGAAATAGTACGTACGTTAAAATCTATAGGTTGTTGTTAGGCAGATTTAATCATCATACACTAATTTCTTTTATTTCAATGTATATGTACATTTTCATACTGAAATATTATGATATTAATTGAGAAAATTTTATAGATCAAAATGATATTTGTGTATATATATTCAGAAATGTATAATGTATCGACTCGTCTAAACTTTTATAGCCAACTAATAGGAGTGATTTGGCATTAGACTAAATCTAATAGATATTTTTGTAACTTTATGGTGTGCTTGCCTGCATTCACTATGGTATATTTATCTGAGCTAGTTGAGATTGAATATGTGGATGAGAAGGAATGTCCTTTTATCAATAGTACTATCCCATTGTACGTAGATACAAAGTATGTGTAATAATTTAACAAAAGTGTATGAATGTGACTGTTATACCATGAAAATTGAGTAAGCAAAATTAATATATATATAGTCCTCCATTATAATTGCTAAATCTTATTTTCCAATATATTTATATTTTTTGAAACACAAAAGGATTAAGAAAATGAACTAGCATATAGATAATAATGTAGGGTTTATATATATACATATATTGTTAGGTGGTGGACATAATTAAATTATCCCAAAATATAAATTAACTATAATTAAGTTGAAGTGAATTATGTGGCACTCAATCCATATATATATCATTCTTGCTTTCCCATGAAAATAAGTAAATCTCATTATTATTTTCATATAATTATGAAGATACTTATACTAATCAATTAAATTAATGCCACTCTTAATTAACTACCTTGGATAGTTGGAATTCATAATTTCCTTTTGTCCATATTTCCTCCATGCGAAGCCATCTTCTTTTGTTGGAGACTCTACCACCCTCGAATCTGAAGTCCTTCTGCAAAGTAAATAAGGATATTGAGCAATAATTTAGTAATTAATTAGAAATAAATAAGTGGCTAAAACCAGGCACAAAATTTAGAGGAAAAATTAATAAGCAATACAAGGAATAAAATGCAATATATATGTATCAGACTGAATAATACACTAATTAGTAATTTATAATGCCCTAATGTAGCTGACTTCTCTTTTGTTTTTTCTCAAATCAAGTTGGTACCTTCCCTTAGCCCTCACATCACATGCTTGTACGTATAATCAATCAAAAACAGCAAAATAACTAATAAGAACATACTAGTACAACACCCATGTATTACATGGGTGGCGACGGTGCCTCCTTCATGGGCGGATTCATAAAAGTGGGATGAGTATCCGGACAAGTCAAATCCAAGACCGTCCCGGCCGGCGCCCACCCTTACCATAAATAATCAACATAATATAGATAATCCGAACCTAAATATATTTGGATTAGAAGTAAACTAAATCTACCCAAACCTAATAACGAAGCATATATTTTTGCCACATAGGATCTCGAAGCATGCGAGCCTGCCACGTAGGCTCAGCACGTTCTCAATTAATATATAAGGAGGGATAACATAAAATAAAATGAAACCTGTAAAAGTGGTGGCTACAATAACCCTTTTTTTATCTAATATAAATTCCGTTTTAATTTTAAGAAAATCAATCATGTGGAGTTCAATCTATAGAGTAATCAAGATTAGGAATAAATTCTACCGTTGTCACCTG